TTCCTTTGCTTCCGCATCCAAAAATAGATTGTATTCTTTGTTAGTGTTAGCAATGCAACTGCTTGCAAATCAATCTATTTTGGGGAGAAAATGGCTGCCTTAAACTGAAGCTAGATGCTGCCACCCATAGGATTGATCCACACCCTGCCTTGATTTGATGCTACTTGAACTCAGCACTTTTTCTGAGACTTTCAGAATTGCAGAATCCGCTGGGTTGGAAAAGACCACGGAGATCATCAAGTCCAACCTATGACCTTATACCACCTTATCAACTAAACATGGCACCAAGTGCCACACCCAGTCTGTTTTCAGACACCTAAAAAAAGTAAACTATCTCATTTGGCATGTGCAGTATGAAGGGTTTATAAGAACACCCATAACACTGCAGCTGCATCCACATGGAAAGTTAATGATTATGAACTCAGTCATTTTCTAAGATGTTTGATTTAGGTAGCAAAGTCAGTTTTAGGCAAAGCTTTGCACCAAGACTAAAATCAGGTGCCCAGGAGGGCGTGGGTATGGCAGCTACTCTGATTGTTCCATTGCTGACACAATTCTTTCTTATTATCTTTAAAAACCTCCAAACCTCCCTCTAATTTTAGAAATTGGTTTTTTAAAAAAGCCACAAAACAAACAAGTTAGCAGAAAAGGGGTGGTCAGCATGTAAGGGATAACAATATATTGATAACAGTGTACTAAGCTTTGTGGTTCTCCTATGAGAATTAATGAGAATTGTGGGAAAATAAATTCTCAAAATAGCTTTGGTATTCTCAGCTCATTTCTGTGCTTTGAATCAATAAAAAGGTGAGGACTCAGGGAATTTTGATGGGAAAGCTTCCCTTCTCCCAGAGTGAAGCACAGGCCTGGCCTCTCAGCAGAGCTCCATTGGACTATGCCCTGCACAGGCTTTAGAGTGGTTACAGACCCTGCCTCTGTGAAGGGCAGGGATTTATTCATGCTACTGTCTTGCTGCATATTTGTTACCCTTGGCTCCCTCATGCCTGCCCAGAGCCATGTCTCATAGCTGTGGGTTCTGCTAACTCACAAGTAAAAAGTCTGCAACGTCAGCGCTGGCAGAGCAGTAGAATGCTGTGCAGGTGCAGCTCCTGGCATCCTGCAGTATGTGAAGGACAGCTTGGTTACTCTCCTTTGTTTGGCTCCAGAGAAAAATAGGAGCTCGGTACTGAGTGAGATTATTGTGGGCTCTCTCCCTGGAAAATGCCTTTGTTTCCAGAGTGTATTAATCTAGGCAATGACTAATGATGATTTTCTTGGTGCTTATTAGCCAATTACCCCAGCTTAAGATGTAGCTGAAATAAATTAGAAAATAAATAAGCCAAAGGTTCTGTGGTTCTGTGAATTGAGAACAGGTGCATCTGATCACTTGTTCCTTTTGATTATGCAATTTGTGTTTGGGAATTAAAGTAGTAAATTAAATCTATCCTTTTACTTCTGTCTGGGGGAGAAAAACTTGTAATTCTCTTGGAGGTATAAAAAGAGTGTTTATACTTGGTAGAAGCAATTTTACCCCCACCTATGCTTTTTTACCCCCACCTAAGCTTTAAAAAAAGCTTTTAGAAAGCTACCTTCAGGACATTCTTGTCCAGTTTGGTTTGCCTGTTCCCTTTGCACCTGGCAGAGAAGAGGTGGCTCTGTCACTGTGGTTCAGCTGCAGCTCAGCCAAACACCTCCTCTGCTGCTCCTGTAAATCCCTCAATTTTCTTGGCTTGGCCAGCTTTCTCTGGTAGGAAATGCATGCTCCAGGGCTGGCTGAGTGGCTGAACAGGAGCCCAGCAGGCTCAGCTGGGGGAGTGGAGCTTACTTATCACACCCCACTGGTCAGTGGGGAGGATCACCTGTACTCTGGTACATCCAGCTCTGTGACAACACCATCATCAGGAGCACAGAATCCCCACAGAGGTTGTGCTGATCTTGGTGGCATCAGGACTCTCTGGAAAGGAATGAGAAGGGTGTTTATGATGAATAAAAGAACAGCTGCACTGGTCTGGGACTCACACTCTTACAGGGCTGTGTCTTTGCTGATATAACAAAACCTCAGGTACCCATGTTGGGGTCTGGCACTCACTTTAATTCATGATGTGTTTCTTTAGCACCTTCTCAGGTATGAGACTTGGTAATCTATAACTTCACTTAATCCCTTTATCTTCAGCCCTGATACAAATGGCATGCTGGGGAAACATCCCTTCTTTTCAATGAACTTGTCCAGTTCGGCTATCATGTAATTTTCCATGTCACTGAGCTATTCCTTTTTCAGTTGTATTTGTAGCATGCAAATGGCTTAATGGACTGATGGAGTTAGATTCCTGAGAGAAAATTTCTAAATTCTTACAGATTCAGGGAAACAGCTTGGTAAATATGCATTTAATAGGAGGATGTTTTGAAGGGGACACAACGGCAAGTGCCCAAGATGGAAGTCAGAGGAAATATATCTGAGCAAGAAGAGCATTGTGGATCTTGTTTCCATCTTCATTATGTAATCTTTCCTCAGATGCTGGGGCTTCTTGGTAGAAGGAAGGAGGGGAAAGTCTTATGCCTTCCTTGGCTGCTGTTTTTGGCAGACAGCATCAGGAGAGGCAATGAACATATGACTTAGTTGCCCAATAAAAGCAGGTGTTCAGGCTTCCTGAAATTCTAGGTGCCTGTGTCTCAGTAAATTCCAGTTACACTCAGTTGTCTGATGCTCCCATCAACTAAAAGAAACACAATAAAATAAAAAAAACCCAAAACTTTCTGTCCAAAGTAAAGTTAGATAAAAAAACATACTGTAAGTATTAGTAATTTGGAATATGGATTAGAAACTGTGGCAGGGAGACCTAGTTAAAAATTAGAGTTATTTTGTAAAGTTTGTATAGCAGCAAATCTAAGGAGCAAATTAAAAATTAATATGTTAATGTTACTACTAATTAATCAAGACTGATATTTGGTATTTTGACAGTACCTCTCTGCTGGTACAAATAATTTGGGTGTAAAGTTTCAGGGCTCAGTACAAGCACAATGACGTTATTGATGTGGGTTTTATTTCAACTGCAGCTATGCCTCCTTTTTAAGAAAGGAAAACAGAGAAGTATGTTAATTTCTTCTACAAAAAGAGTTGACTTCCAGAAGTGTTAATCTCCTTAATATTCAAATGTGTTTCAGATGTTTTTGCATGTACAGGATGGATTGCAAAGAGAGAGAGGAGAAATTATCTTTAATTAAGTAATTAGTCCAGATTATTTACAGTATAATAGACAATTGACTAAACAGCTGTGTTTCTTTCCTGCAGCCTCCTCCTCAGATATATGATAAACAGCTGGATGAAAGGGAACATACAATCGAGGAATGGAAAGGTAATTGCAGTTTAGAATTACACGGGAAGGGGTCTTTTAGTGACAAAATAGCAAAACCAACAAAAATATGGAAACTGTTCAGAGGGCTATCATTATCTACATAGGTTAATGTTAACTCAGGAGGTTGGATTCCAATGCTTCACTGAAATCCAGGGACATCATCTGGAGGGCAGAATACTGTTCAGCAAGGCAGTGCATCAGAATTTTAGCCACAGTAAAAGGTGCTGTGATATTGTGCTGCGGCTCTTCTAGATAAAGCAGCATTAAACAGTTCTCCTGCTCTGGTTGAATCCCATTTGTCTCCATTCATCTCCAAAAGGAGATGAGAGGAGAGGAGGGGAATGGAAGAGAGAGGTCTTAGGTGAGTAGAGCTGTCAGACTTGGGAAGACAAGGCAGGGCAGACCTAGGAAGCTCAGGGCTACAGCACATTGTGCTAGTTGTTTTGTTCCTGATCACAGGCACTGGCCTCTGTCAGTAACTGTCACAATTCTCTCTTCCAGAACTCATCTACAAAGAAGTAATGAATTCTGAAGAAAAGACTAAAAATGGCGTAGTAAAAGGACAGCCTTCTCCTTCAGGTACTCGGCCCCATTGAATAACCTTGACATGTGTTCTGTACTGGCAAAGAGAGAATGGAGATTGCTGAAGGGCTTAGGCTACACTTGCAGTTATGCAGCCAATAAGAAGTTTTTATGAGATCCAGTGCTTCTAATGGGTTGACTTTTATTAATTGTACTCCAGCATCATGTTAATAGCATACTTAAAAAATTATCTTCCTGCTATTTGAGAGAGAGTTGTGCTGGTATTGTCTGTGGTTACAGATTATATTCCTCTCAGTGTGGAGGTTTCTCTCACACTAGTATTTTCATACTGCTTATGGGTGGATAACTGAAGCAATACTTTGCTAATTAAAACAAGCAAAATTGGTGATGCTAACACGTTAATCTCTTGGACACAGAGCACTGCACATGGGACCCCTACCCCAGCCCCAGGTAGGTGTCTGCTACTAATCTGGTAGTCTGTCCTCTCAGAAGTCCAATCACATTAGAACAGCTGGCTGACAACACTTGATGACACTGCAGCAGGAAGGGAAAGTTGTCTTCAACCACTGACTCTTAAAGTCCTGTCACAAAAAAAAAAAAAAAAAAAAAAAAAAAAAAAAAAACAAAAAAACCACAACTAATTTTTTTCTGAGTAAAATTCACATCAGCAGTCTTTTCACAGAAATGCAAATTGCCACTTCCAGTACACAGAAATACATATTTGTGAAGGTAGTTTCACTGGCAAGCTTGAAGTGCCCAGATTTTGAGCACAGTGTTCCAGCAGTAATTATGAGTAAAACTGCCTTTCCTTAAAGCATAATCATTTAACTCCATGTTCTCTGCATATCTTCAGAGAGAATTTTTTTATCACTCTCATTTTTCACTTGGTGCTGAGCCAAAGTAATGTTAGAACAAGAATGCATCACTAGCAACTGACAGGACAAGGAGAAACATGGCAATAATGAAGGGATTTAATAAAGTGCTGGGTGGTGATGTTGGAGCACAAGCCCTGCACCTGGATTTTGACACGAATGAAGTAATATGTTGGAAATAATCCACTGTATTCTTGCCAAGTAGCAAAGAACAGAACTTGCAGATTTAATTTACTGAACTAATGGTGCCACCACTGAAAAGAAATCTGGGGCCCTAAAAATTATCTGATAAATCCTCATTCTTAATTTTTTCTCCCTTGCAGAATTGTGGCTGCAGGTTGATTTATTATCAAGAAACTTGGTAGTTGCATGTTTCAGGAATTAACTACCATGAGATTTCTTTATCAATTTCATATTCTGTTTTTGCTATGTGGAAGGTTTTTATTGTTTATCTAAAACATTTTCAAACATACAAAATTGTAATTTTTTACCCAACATTTATTCTATTTCCCTTTGACTGTTTCTTGAATGTTAGGCACCAACAAGTTCAGAAAATATTTTGAACTGCTCTCAGATGAGGCCATTTCATGAAACAGTAGATTTCCTTTTTCTTCACTTTGTGTGCCTGACTTAAATTTTCAGCTGAATGAAATAATGGAAGAAATAGGTAAACCACCAGTTTTGAGCATAAGGAAAACAAGAGAGACTCGTTGGTTGGTGCTGTTGGCAAGAATTCAGAAAGCTGAGATTTATCAGAAAGCTCTATCAATAATCATGGCAAGCAAGCTGGAGCTTAGTTTCCATGATTACTTGATCAGAGTTTTGGGGGAGACTGCTGAAGCTGACAGCATGAGGGATAATAATTGCTCATTGATAGAGCCACTTAGAGTGCCTGTGTATCAGGGTGTCAATCTCTTTTCTGTGAAGAATTGGTTAGTACAACATACCAGCTTGGAAACTGAAGTACCTGCCCCTCATGCTTATGTTCAATGAACAAAATCAACAGCGTAAAAAATTGTTCGCAGCAGAGGCTACTTCTGCCTGTCCAGACAAAAAGTGTTTCTGTTACTAGCAAACAGCAGCATTTGAAAAAAAAAAATTAATACAAAGCTGTAGATTATTTAGAATTAAACTTAAATTCTGTCCATATTATCTAACCTCCTCTCACACTCTCCCCTAGCCTTCACTACCCAGCTGTAGTTTTATACATAACATTTTTAACTGTCTTGTCCTTTCTGGGTACAGAGTATAGTAAATAACACAGATCTTAGTGCAGCTTATTTTTAGCATTCCCCTTTCTAGATGAAACTGGATCTTTTATTCTATGTTTCCTGCCTTTTTCTTGCTGTCTGATTTGCCATCACCCAGGAACTACTGGACACCTTTGCTAGTAGGACACCTCTTCTGTCATGTGCAGACTCTAAATTAAGCAGCTGATGGACTTGCCAAGCACTGTGACACTTGATACCAAGAGCTGCTATTTACACAATTTATGAGAAGCTGAACAGATCCCCAATACAGACACTGGGCTTTTTTGGAAACTGCAAAAGCTGCAGTTCTCCTTTCAGTTTTTTACCCCCAAATCTGTGTCACTTCACAGCTGAAGTCTCAGAGGTGCTTCCATTGGTGCTATTTAATAGCGCTTCTCAGGAGCCCTCTCAGGAAGGAATCCCTTTTTACAGCACACAAGCTGATGTGTGCTTTAAAAGAGAAGCTGTCAAAGCAATAGCAGAGCCAGGAACAGATCCCAGGAGCTGTTTCTCACCTGCTCTAACCTTTAGCATTTTTTCTCAATCCTGCAGCCAGTAAGAAGCTTCCTGCCAAACAGGAACTTCATAAATGGGGCTCCTTTTCTCTCTTGAGTGCACCTCTGTCATATCTGCACTGTCTTACCTGGCACACATCCCTCCAGGAGCAAACTGGTGTAGCACAGCAAATGGAGCATTCCTTACAGAATCACAAAGTTGGAAGAGACCTTCAAGATCATCAAGTCCAACCTGTTCCCTGACACCTCAACTAAATCATGGCACCGAGTGCCACATCCAGTCTTTTTCTAAATATATTCAAGGATGGTGACTCCACCACCTCCCCAGACAGACCATTCCAGTACTTTATCACCCTTTTTGTGTGGAAACTTTTTCCTAATATCCAACCTATATTTCCTTAGTGCAGCTTGAGACTGTGTCCTCTGGTTCTGACATTTGCTGCCTGGTGAAAGAAACCAAACCCCACCTGACTACAGCCACCTCTCAGGAAGGTGTAGAGAGTGATAAGGTCACCCCTGACTCTCCTTTTCTCCAGGCTAAACACCCCCAGCTCCCTCAGCTGTTCCTCACTGGGTTTGTGTTCCAAGCCCCTCACCAGCCCCGTTGCCTCCTCTGGATTTGCTCAAGTGTCTCAACATCCTTCCCAAACTGAGGGCCCAGAACTGGACACAGCACTCGAGGTGTGCCCTCACCAGTGCCAAGTGCAGGGGAAGGGTGACCTCCCTGCTCCTGCTGGCCACACCATTCCTGACACAGGCCAGGAGCCTTTGGCCTCCTTGGCCACCAGGGCACACTGCTGGCTCATGTTCAGCCAGCTGTCACTGCACCCCCAGGTCCCTTTCTGCCTGGGCACTGTCCAGCCACACCGTCCCCAGTCTATAACACTGCAGGGGCTATTGGGGCCAAAATGCAGGACTTGGCACTTGGACTTAGTAAACTTCATCTTGTTAGACTCTGCCCATCCATCCAACCATTCCAGGTCTCTCTGCAGAGCCCTTCTCCCTTCCAACAGATCGACACATGCTCCCAGTTTAGTGTTATCTGCAAATTCACTAACAAAGGACTCAATCCCCTCATCCATGTTATCAGTGAAGACACTGAACAGAGCTGGCCCCAGCACAGACCCCTGAGGGACACCATTGGTGCCTGGCCCCAGCTGGGTGGGACAGCTTTGTTTGGGCTTCTGAGTGTTACTGCCCAAGTTCTGCTTTGTGCTGCTGAGCTCTTTAATTCTGTCATTGAGGTTTAGCGTGGTTTCATTTGTTTTTGTGGATACTTTGTGAGTCTGGGTGCTTTGGGGATGCAGCAGGAGTTGTCACATCTATGCATTGTGTCATGTGGAATTGTGCTGAAAGCTGGGAATAGCCATAAAAGTGCAGTTTGCAGAAACTCGTGGGCTGCACTGATAGAACATCATAGCAGGGTTTATTGAATTCAGTGGTGCTGAATCAGACAGTGTAACAAAATCTTCAACCATACAATTTCTGCAGCTATTTCTTCAGTTATTTTGCCTGGCTAAGTTGAGTGCACATTCATCAAAGAAAGCAGCAGTTTGATCAAAAGCTAATTGAACCTACTGGAATTTTTTCCATTTTATTCTTAGGACAGCATCCATGACTTAATGGCAGGCTTCTGCCCAGCATGGTAAACATAGAAAAGTAATATATTGTTTAGTCATTAATATGAATTAATTCAGTCATATTTTGACTACCCATAAATGCATTTGTCTTGACTGATTAGTATTTTCATAAAATGCCACATGATTAAATAACAAGTAAACATGAAGTAACAGTATTGTACGGAATTATGAGGTACACATAAATAACCCTTTGAAAAGCACAGTTTCTTACAGAGAGGATGGATGATTGCTGTCTGCAGTCACCAGTCAGACTTCATTGAAATTGCTCTTTTTGCAGCACTTACAAAATTAACTATTTTATATTCCAAATGTATCAGGAGGGTAAATGAATTTAATTGGTTCCGATGCCATAATGTATAACTAGAACAGCAGAAAGCAGTTCCCATATGGAGCTCTAAATGTGAGCATATCTGTCTCTGTTTTGTGCATATTTACAGTGGTTATGTATAAAGGGAAGAAAAAGCTGAGGAATATAGAATAGTGGTTGGAAGTATGGTAGGGTGGCTTGTTTTCTCAAATTAATGTTTTTATTGCAAACTGAAAAGTGACAAAAATCATTTTCTTTTGCCCATAGCAGCATATACTTTGCCTAGGTTGTAGAGATAACTTTTAATTTCTGTATTAGGAATGTATGAGTTGTGTAGTTTTACTGGATAATAGATGTTCATTTCTAGCCAAATCTGTAAAAGTTGGCTGAGGACACTTTTCAGACAGAAGAACAAAATGGCATCTATCTGCAGATCATTTATTTGTTACCTGCCTAGCTGTAATTTCTAGCTATGCAAGATCATACAAAATTTTATTATAATACATTTTATTATCATGAACATTTAATGAGAATTAATGTATCCCTCTCAAACTGAAGACAGTGCTAATTTTGGTATTAAGAGAACAAAATATCACCTGGAAGTTAAATGGAAAAAAAAAATCCAATCAAACAGGCTTATGCTACTCTGCAAACTTTAGTTTGAGCTGAGGTTAATGAGCAGTAACAGTTAAGAAGTCATAGGTGTGCAATAAGTACATCCTTTACATAGCTCTGTATTTGTCATTCAGTTGTCTGAATTTATGAGACAGATAATTTCTGATAATATTCAGGGATGTGATGAATGTTCAGTTGCATTGATGATAATCTCAGGAAGGTTTATTGTTCATTTCATAAAGTCAAAGTGATTTTTGGCATAATGTCTGGTACCATCATAATTTTAGAGAGGTAAAGAGGTGAGGTAAACTTGGATGTACAAAAACACAGACGTAGCTGAAATCCTGGGCTTAGTTGCCTAATCCTTAGTAAGAGAAAGAAACCACTCGGCATTTCCACTGGGTGATTTGATCCCACCCGCTCTATTAAACTGCCACTAAGAGAACTGGAATTTTATGAGAAGAATATGGAGGAATAGGTGGGGTCTGTTTTTGTTTTGATCACACATTGTATGATCCTGACATGCCTCTGACTATTGGGTGTTTTGGAACTTCAAGTGGGCTAGAACGAAGTGGGGTGACAAACACTCTATGAGCTATAACTTTTCAAAGCAGACTGGTGAGGGACAGAATTTCCTGGTAAGATATTTAATATTATCCAATGTCTAAAGTTGGTATGGCCCATTTCCTGCTGAGGCTTGCCACTGGATAAAATTGTCTGTGTACCACCAGGTAAGCACCCTCTGCTCTTTAACGCGTGACACCTTCTGGGGTTTCGGGTTTAATCACGTTGGTGTTCGTTTTCGTAGCACAGGTGCAGCAGTGAACAGCAGTGAGAGCCTCCCTCCATCCTCATCTGTCAACGACATCTCATCCATGTCCACGGATCAAACCCTGGCGTCTGACACGGACAGCAGCCTGGAAGCTTCTGCGGGACCCCTCGGTTGTTGCAGGTGACTAGCCGCCTGCCTGCGAAACCCAGCGTTCTTCAGAGGATGATGGAACCTAGGAGGAAAAAATGATGGGAGCTAAGAGATGAAAAGAAGGAGAAATAAAATACAGAGATTTAAGTGAAACAAACAAAGAAACAAACAAACAAACAAAATCTTTTCAGCCTGCTTCTCCTACAGAGTTATGTAATACAGCTAAGCTCAAGTGTGTATTTAACTTATAGTTGCTCTGCTTTGGTCTTCTTCCAGTGATGCTTACTGGGGGGGAAAAGGAAAAAAGGAACTGAAAAAATCCTTTTTTTCCCCCCCTCCCCAAAAGATATAAAATGAATGGCTGCAAAACCAGCAACCTGCAACTGTCTTTTTCACACTGGCATGACAAGGTGTGCAGTAGCCACGCTCCACCATACAAGTGTGTGTCTGCCTTCACTGTCTGTTCTGCCTTCTGCCCAGTGAGGCAGACAGGGATCTCCATGCATTTTTCCTCACACACATACACACATGTGCCAACAGAATCCTGGTAGTGCATGCAGCTGTGTGCCTGCACATCTGCACAGGCACTTAGTGTGCACTCCATGACTATAAATGGCCCATTCCAGGCAAACTGCTCAACTACATATGGGATCTTACAATACATATTCTATCTGTTTGCTCCTTGATGAGATTACATATACTGTATGAGGACTTGTGGAAGTGTAAATAATCACACAGAACTGTGACTCCCTCAGACACTTGAAGATGTAGCACCAAATTTCTGCTGAGAGTTGTATATATATTTTGAAATAATAACCAGTTTTATTGAAAGAAGAAGCCACAGAGCTTCATAGAAAAATGCTAGTTTGTGAATGTTAAGATTTGTTGTTCTGATTTTTAGAGCAGATATGCCAAGATAAGACTGGGTTAGAAGGAAGCACATGTCTTTGCAAGCTATAGGGAACAAGAATGAAGGGGTTTTATGCATGTCTAAGCCCAGAAAGGTATCAGTAAGCAACTTTTTCTGTCAATGTTAAGTGAATTATCATCTTAGGGCATAGATAGGCTCACTATTTTGAAGTACGTGTATGTTTGTAAATTAGAGGGTATGACAGTGTTGGGGAATAAGCTATGATCAAAAGAACATGCACCAACTTGTTTTTATTTTATGTCTACATCTTGATTAGGTTAGCCAGAGAAAGGATATTTGCAGCCCACTCCCTCTCAGTGTGTGTTTGCAGCTCAGAGGTTGTTTTCCCTTTTCATCATTCCCTTGCAGGCACTTCTGCTACTCAGAGAACAGGCATTCTGTGGGGTGCTTTTGGCTCTTCATTTCCTCATGATAAATCAGTGGGCTCCCCAGGAAGTTTGAGCATCTGTGTTACACAGAAAAGAACCACAGAGTGCATGGGTCTAGTTTTCCTACATTCTGTCAGCCAAGGTTATCAATCAGCTCGTGCGCTGGTCTGGAAGGGTCGCAGCCAGGGTCTTGGGCAGTTTGGACAAGTTCTGAAGAACCCAACAGTGACTGAATATCAAGTTGAATTTGCCAGGTAATAAAGCAGAGGATTTCCCATGGTATGTAACAGCAAGAGTTTTTAGTAGAGAATGACAAATTCCACACAGAATTTCAGAACCATTGAATATTTTTTCCAGCCAAAACAGCAATTGGCATTTTCCACTGTGATGTCATCATTATCTGAGTTGGAAATTAACTAAAATCCAAGTCATCTGTCCTTTTACCAAAGTATGCCATGTAAACTGAAATGAGCTAAATCCTACTCTAATGCTTTTCCAAGTGCCAGAGAGAGAAACTGTTTAGATTATGTTAGTGGATATTTTTAATTCACTAGTTCTTTTGTATTCAAAACTCTACCAAAATAGGGCGGTTCCGTTGGGTGGCTTATGAGCCTGCCATTCAGTGGTAGGAAAAAAAAATTAGTATCAAGTCAGATTTTGTTCAAAGGGAAGAAAGGGAAGGAAAAAATTTCTCTACAGAGTGGGCAGGAGGGGAGATAAAAATGAAGAGGATATAAAATAAAATCAGACTTGGTAGGTCTGAGCTGTATCAGAATTGCTGTAGGAAGTGGGGGTCTTTCCCTGGTTATATTTTTGGTAGATTTTTATCAAATTTTTTTGAGACTAAAATTAGGTTGTTAATGTTCTAAAAACTCAGAGCAGTAATTTTAAAAGCAATAATTTACTACTGCTAAATATATTTAGCAATATTCTCTCTTAAGCCATGAAACATCAGGTCATTATTGAGTGATGTAACTCTCACTCCAAAGCCAATGATCATGAAAGTATTGAAAGGTTAACAGCAAAGCTCTGTAGGTATGTAGGCAATAACACCAAGGGTGACTTCTTAGCAATAATTAAATATATCACCTCCTGATTTAATTCACCATAGACATATTAATAATATTCAGGTAACTGTTATCTACTTTACATGTGCACCATTTGGGTGTGTTATTTAAGCAAAACTAAACCAAGTCTCATTGAGGCAAAACTGCAAAAATATCACCAGTGTAGACTGCAGAAACTTGGCATAATCCCAGTTCATTGCCAGTGCTGTCATGGAGCTGTGGCATAGGCAATAGTAGAGAAGCCATTCAGAGTAGATGGAGACTTGTAGACCTCCTACATTTCATCTCTTGGTGGCAAATCTGTGCTCTTAGTCCCATGGTATAATTCAGTCCTGGTTGGGTTCATGAGTGCAGGGTGGAGAAGCAGTCACTGGAGAAGGTGTCAGGTGGGCGCTGAATGGACTCACAACACAGGAGTTACATAATCAGATTTATTCCCTCATTCTGCTAGGCACCAGTGCTTGTTCAAACATCTCATGGAGACTGTAGGATGCTTACAAAAATTTAACTAGCGTGTGCTTTTGTCCTTTGCTCAGCAGTGATTGACATCAGCATGTGCTTAAGTGCCTTGCTGAAATGGGGCCTGAAAGAATTATTGCATTTCTTTTTGTCCTCAAATCAGTCTCCTTCATGAGAAGCTCTGTCTGGGGGAGGAGACTTGGAGCTGTCCACATTGGACACTAGAAACAAAAAAAAGCCATCAATGAAGAAAAGCATTAGTTCTTTACAGTTCTGGTCCTTGTATGTCCAAACTGAAGTAGCAGGAATAGCATCCTTAATTTTGCTTTGTGCCAGGAATTCTCTGCTGTCAGCTGATACCTTACAATAACACATATACTCTTGAATAAAGGATCATAGTGATGATGTTCTGAGGGTGTTTTAAGGGGAACCACTTTTTTTTTCTGATTCTAGAAGTTGTTATACAGTCCTCTTAAAGTCTGCTCCCCATTATTCCAAAATTTTATTCAGCTTGATGATGATAGATGATTTCCGTAATTTTGCCATTGATCTTTTAAACCTACTTCTACTTAACACATTGCTAAATACAGTACTTTGGCAACATTTTTCACTTAATTCTCTGAGGTTTGCTGTTGTAAGCATCACTGCCACTAGTGCAGAAGTGAAGGAAATTGGGAAGCCAAAGATCTCTGACAGATGTTCCAAGGTATTTAGGCACCATAGGGGGCAATCAGTGAGCCTGTGCCAGAAGTGGCATAACTTCCATCGTCCCAAATGGCAGCTGGACACCTTGGCATTTCTCAAAATATGCCTCAGAACCTCTTGGAGTCGTAAGTGCCTCAATACCCTAGGAAATTCTGTCCCAAGTGGCTCACCTAAGTCATGTATATAGGCATCAGCAGGGTGACAAGAATGGCACAAGCATTATCTGTCAGTGACTGCTCAGAGCACTAGCTGCATTGAGATGGTAGAGAGGAAGATTGCTGCAAAACATCCCTGCTTTTTTTTTTTCAGATTAAGAACTTTGTGATAGTATGAGGAAAAATAAAAAGAAATAAGTCAGAACAGTTCTTAAAAAGACCGTCCTTCCATTTGCTTTCTCACTGCTGAGTTTAAACGAGGATGAGGCATTGATTTATTACAAGTTGATGCAAGGTCATGTATTGTGGGAATTTAGGGTTTATGTATGTTTTCAATCCAAATTTTTTGGTAGTTTTGGAAAACAGTCTTCAGATACTGATTTGGTAGCTGTAATAGTATTTTGTGAGTTTTGATTATATTCCATTACAATATGTCTTCAGAGAGTTCAGATATTTGAGTTGATCACTGTGATTTATTTGACTTATATAGTGGTTGATATTCCCCCCTCCTATCTAGAATTCCATTGCACAAATAGATTCATGAATCATAGCAAGTTTGCATTATATAAAACAGACTTAAACTGGAGTGCAAGTATGGCAGTGTGTCAAAAAACCCACCAAAAAAAAAAAAGAAAAAAAAAACCAAAACCCATTAAAAAGCCAAAACAACAAAGCTACAGTAAGCCTGGTTAGGTTTTCTAAGCCCTAATGCACTGATGGTTTTCCTCTGGAAATCACCAGTTCCTGCACAGAATTGGCTTTGGAAGGTTACACAAGACAGATGATCATGTGACTATGTCACTGCTCCAAATTTATAAGCAATTTGGTTTATATACCTTCCTTTATCCTCATAGATATTGCTTTACTTTCTAATTCTGGGATAACAGTACTGAAGAAATTAGACCCGTTGCAGTCTAGGTCTTTAAAGAATGCCTTTAGGGAATTTCCCAAAGTAGTACCACTTAAGTGATTTGGATTGTATTCTGAATTTGTCAGTGAGCACCAGTGATTTCTTTTCCACCAATTTTTTTTCTCATTAAAAACATGCTAATAGCAACTTTTAGAACTGCCTGAGAGAGTCACTTTTAGAAAATCTCCCACATTAAAAATATGTTTTGAATGTGTTGGAATTATTGTAAAATGGAATTGGAATGTTTTAATTCAAAGTAACTTCTAGTAACCAATGCTAGCTTATATATATTGCAAGCTTCACAGTAGTTCAAAGGACCAAAAACTATTTTCATTTCAGGTCTACTTATTTCTATTCAGATCTATTTATATTTCTTCCTTCATGTTTATTTAGAGTTTAAAATTTAGTGTGAATTCAAACATGCAAAAACAAACAAACAAACAAACAAACAAACAAACAAACAAAGGCATTTTGTAACAAACTCTATGCTTCCAGGGAGAGCAATAGAAAGAAAACCTGCAGGGACCAAATACTTTTCTTTTTAAAGTCTGAGCTAGTCATTCAATTTATGTTTTTCTTTACTTCTGTATGTGTGTGTAGGGAAGAGAGGGTGTTAATACGGATTTTTAGAACCTCTGTTCCACTTGTGCTTGATCCCAGTTGTCAGTGTGGATAAAGAGAGGATTGTAACATAATCAACACATCTTCAAGAATCTGATGGCTGTGCTTATTTGAACTTCCACCACTTTACAAAGGACACAGTTAACTAATTGCAAGATGTTTTTCACACACACACACACACACACACACACACACACACACACACACACACAAAAAAAAGAAAATCATTATGCAGTAGGTTTGAATACCACATGAATATGTAATTGTCTTAATTAGTAAGATGCTTGAGGTATGCAGGGGAATGGTGAATGTGTCATCTTCACCAATGAGCTGGAAAACCAACCTGTCCAGTGGAATTTAGTGGAATCTTCTTAGTGTATTAGGAACTTGCCAGTGGGGCCTGATTTTTCTTTAGTTTTTGTTGTTGGTTTGGGTTTTTTTTTTAATTAACAATTGATTGCAAGAAGTGAAATGTTTAACTTAATGCATGTTCAGGCTCGTTGGCCTATGGCAAGTTTGAGTTTTAAAGAGGCTTTGATTTGACAAAAGAATGTTGAAAAACTTCAACTGAGGCTAATGGTGCCTTTTTACCTGAGAGGGAAAAGCTGAAAAGCACATATTAAAAGAAGACACAGTCAATTTGGGAAATAAATGCATCCTTACCATGCTTATCATTTCAGACAGGTCTCTTTTGCTAATTTTCACTGAACAGAGTCATTCTTGTCTTCTGGAAAGCAAGATATTTATAATGTAAATAGTTGTATGGAATTGATTTTTTTCCTTCCTCTGTAACTAATATGTAATAATCCAACACACTATTTCTGTTAAAAACTTTTACAATAAGGCTGCTGTTTGCCTAAATATGGTTGACCTCCGACCTTCTCCTGAGTCAGTCACGTGTTGATAAAGGAGGGTGCTGGAAGTTTCAGTGTACATATAGAATCATGTATATTTAGTAAATTGGGTAAGTGGGACTTATGGCCAGTATGCATTAAGCCACAACAGTAACAGCTCCAGATCTTAACTAGCAAAAACAACTGTTCACCTTGCCATGTCCATCCTGTAATAAGATCTAAGTTGCACCTGCCTGTAGTTCTGCATGATCAGACTTCAAAGTATAACTAAGATCTGTAATGTATCAGTGTTGATCAACGTAGATGTAAACAAGAAAAA